TCCGTACTCATTTAAATACCTTAATCCAAATAAGCACCGATGCGATTCGCGCTCAAATCCTTCGGGGTCACGTGCAACAACGTCAGTCGGCATCGAACATATCTAGACACGAAAAGTGATTTTTCGTTCGACTCAGATTTCCTCGGAAAAAGGCGCGGCCGCGAAGATGATTTTGTGACGATCGATACGTTAGTAACGCGAGAAATATGTGCCCGCTGGAGGTATCGTTATTCCTCCTCCATCATCGGCGTTTTATGATACGGCTGCGGTTGCTGCAGCTGTTACAATATATCTATCGGTACTTTCGTATCAATAACTCTATGCCATTCTTTTTCGCGGCCGCTTCGCGAACCATTTTCCAGCGTAATGAATTCCGCCATCCGCTGCCGTTGGACGTGAATGGAGGGCTCGTTACAATAACACGCTAAAGTACACACTATATATCTAAATTAGCAGTAGAGCGACTGAAAAGATCATAAACAAAAATGGTTATATGAAACTTTTAAGCACATTTCTCGATATGGCATACTGTCTATTAAAAAAATCACGAGAAGTTTTGCGCCGAGATAAAATCACATTGTTAATCTCTCGCGAGTGCAAGTTTTTTAATAAAAAAAAAACTGCCTACTAAAATTGATGTTCCTACCATCTCAGTGAGAATTCTCGCTGGGAATCTACCTATATTTATAGTTTTTGGTCAATATCTCTCTATGATTGATCTATCCCCATGATTGATTTACCTCTATACCATAGTTTTTTTTCTTGAGATTAAATTTATACTTCAAGTTATATAAAACAAAGATATGGAATCAATAAATGTCTATTGTTTTTGAAATTTCAATCTTTGAAAAAAAACACAAAGGATTAATAAATATAAAGTTAACAACTCTTTTCTGTTATATCTATGAATCATTATCGTGGGATCTTTTTTTCCTTCGTGATGCAAATTGGAGCTAAAATAATATAGTACGACTAAATAATTAATAGTGACATATTTGAAAAATTTGAAGCTAACTTTGAAGAAGACGTTATGCCTTTTTCAGCTCTTCTCTTTCTTATAAAGCTCCAACTGAGGTGCAAAAAGTTATTCTATTGCACCTGTCGTAAATCTATGACCTCGGGCGCGGCCGTAATAACAAGAGTAACCACCCATGTCAAATGACGCCAAGTGACAGAAGGTGCAATTACTGGGAGTCGCTCTGAAAAAAAGAAAAGACGCGCCGACATGAACCCGCCGACAAATCCAGCTTTTTTCTCAACGCCCTGAAAACGAATGGTCCGTAATTTGCTGAACCGCTAGTCGTCTATAAATCGATGAAAATTATCTGAGTTATACTTCAAATCCATTCGCCAACAATCTCGTTTCACGGAATGTGTTTCCTCTGTCGAACGTAATCTCTGCAGTCATTTTTCGCTTCTTCCTCGCAGGGAGAACATCGCACTTTTGTCAAGCAAAGTTGCTATAACAAAACCGTTACCATTGAAAATTCTTTGTTTATAATTATGATAAAATAAACAAAGAAACGACTGGTAAATCCTAAAAATTTTATTTCTGCAAATTTTAATATTCTTAATATTCTATTATCATGTCAAGAAGCTAACTAATCTGAATATCCGTTTGAAATGATTCCCGAGAGACCGAGATTCAAAATTGCCGAGGACGATGACGCCGAGGCACACGATCGACCGCGTCTTTTCAATGCGCGAGTGAAACGGGGTAGTTCCAACAGCCAAGTGCATACAAAGTATCTATAGTTGAGTAATCAGAGAACTGTAATAGCTGCGGGATGTATCTATAGCTGGAGGAAGATTGGATGGAATTAGATTAGATCAGAGCTCATTACGCTTCAGCTTAAGAGTGAATTAGGTAGAGAATGGGTTGTATGAGTAAAGGACTCTTCGCTTCCGGTTAAGATAAATCTTTTTTCATTGTTTTTCTTATAATACATCACGTTGACGATAATGGAGACTGCCATCTTGAAGACAATGGCGACGAGCTGTGGTATATAGTAGTATCTTGTCTCTCGGGACATTGAGTACTGAACTTTATAAGACATCGATATAACTCTTCAGCTTTGGCATCTTCACAAGATCTGATACGTATGGACTGTATTAAAAGGCGTTTCTTCACAGTTATAACCATCTCTCGAGTAAATTGTAGTACACTCTTCCTTAATATAAATTAAAATAAACGATTATTCTTCACTTTCAACTTTCGTATATTCTAATAAATACTCTAAATTGCTTTGCAACAGATTGTACAAAAACATTTTTTTTAAACATATTTAGAAATACATTATATACTGTTTTATTTATTTCATTATTATTTTATTTATTACTTATTTTGCATTTTTGTAGCTTTATCGCAAAAGTCTATATATTTGAATTATTTGTAAGTCGAAAAAGAAACTATTTAAATCATAACCGTCCGTTTCTGATGTCTATAACCGTGATAGAGTGCACTCGCACTCGTATATATATGCGCTTCATCAACGAAATAGATCACTGCGCTCTTCATTTTAACGATGAAATCGTCGAAGCTTTGTTTCTCGCAAGACAGCAGAAGGGAGAGTCAAGTTGTTAGTTTGATGTCAACGCATCCGAATGGAAACGGTAGATTGTAACCCCTCTAATTAACGAGGACATATCGCAGCGAGCGAGCAAAAGCTGATAGTCTACGTGGAAAACTTTGCACTTCATTAGCTTTCCACCGAGATACGCCTCAGGTGCGGCAGTCTCATGCTCCAACAATGTGATATCCGTGCAGCGGAGTGTACGTGTGAGTACGTGTGTGTATATGTGTGTGTGTGTGTGTGTGTGTGGTGGGGATGCTCTCTCGAATCTCGATATACGAAGACAGCCGTGATGATATATAAGGGGCGAGTTCTGGGAAAGCCAAAGAGAAGGACTCCCTGGAGTGCATGGAAAAGCTCGTTATAAGCTCTTCGGTCTTAGTTGCCGCTACGAAATTAATTAAAGCAAGTGCTCGCTCAGGCGGGCGCGAGATATCAAGAAATGTCCTTTTGTTGGTTGTATAGCGAATTCGTGTGCAACATCATTCGCGAGAGATAATGAGCGACGGGCGGATGTATTCTTACGAATGCCGAAGTGCACTTAAGACCGGGCTAGAAAGGAGAGAGAGAGAGAGAGAGAGAGGGACGGAGATTATTAAGATAAAGATTAAGTTTCCTCCTACGCCCATAACTTGGCTAAGATGCTGTTTGGTGTTTGCTTATATCTTGTTCGTCGCTATTGTACCGTGGTCCGTGGCGTATATAGTACAGCTATATATAGCGCACAACGCGGCTTGCGTGTTTCTCGTGAAATATCCTATGTTGGACATTGTGTAGAAGTGTTGTTCAGATTTTATAAATTTATGTACTTCGCGTTATATTTACGCGTGATAATTATAATTATACACCTGATAAAATAGTTTGTTCCCCAGCTTTCCCCCAGTAATATATTTTTTTCTAAAAATAATAACTAAGTTTCATAATTATATATAAAATAATATATAATATCAGCATTTAATTAAGAGATACCTCTGATTAATACCGTTATAACAAAACGGAGGTAAAAAAAGAATGAATTGAATATTTTAAATATGTAATTCGTATGATAGCAATGTATGTACCATTCGCCATTAAATCCGGAATATGCAGTGGAGTTAGTTTCAAACACTAAGCAAACACTTCTGCTACTTCGAGACATATATCGACCGCTCCTGAGTGCATTTCTAACTCAACAACTTGCAGTGCACAAAGTGTAGGGGTGCTATACGGACCATTTTGCAGCATCTGAGCACAGCTATACTGACGTCACAGATCTGAAATAATCTCATTAAATTTTCTCAGCAATTAATTATATTTCATCGATCTAATTGTAATTAAATAAAAATCATAACATTTACACTGCACATACATTCTGCAGAAGTTTTGAGTATATTTCTTTTGCTCTGATTTTTTGTTTAACTTTTTGAATCTTGTTCTTAACGTACTAAAATATATAAAACTTACTCTCTCTCTGTGAACTCTCTTCATATATTATTTAAAACATTTTAAATATGTATATAAACATATGTGTGTTAATGTTGTAATTCTTATTAATATTAAAAATTAATATATAATATTTAAAATCAATGTTATTTATACATTTACTATTATTAATAGCTTAGTCATTTGCAATTTCAAACATCCGCAATATTTACGTTCCATGTTTTACAATTTAAGAATTATAAGTTTGAATATCTTCGTTTTTATATAGAAGTGACGACTGTGACGAATAATAACGAATAGACGGAATTAAAAGTCTCGATTTGTCGAGTGAAATACCAATCGCTTTTCTATTCTGAGGAACGCGCTTCGATCGTTGCTCGCATATTAAACCGTCTCCTTTTATATTTAGCTTCTGCGAATATTGAAATAGCCAAAGTCGATAAAAAAAATCGATTTTTAGGTTACAAGAAGATTGAATAGTTTTTATTAGAATTTTTAGCGATTCGAGAAAAATACGCTATCCACAATGTTGCATATTTTAAAAAGTTGCTAACATTTCGTTGGACGTCGGAATGCTTTGTTACTCTTGTTCATACATTTAATGGCTGCCATTACAAATTTCAATTAACCGGAAATTTCACTAATCCCTTGTTTGGCTACGGAATGTGATTAAAGGCTAATTTGTCAACAGGAAATTAACTGGTGCGGAAATCAACATAATTCACGTTCCAATACAAACTGAAGTTTTTCGAAGTATAAATCAGAAATAATAACCATCGAATAAATTTCTTGCCATTCAAGAAAAAATAAAATAAAATGAAATAAAATCAAATAAAGTCTCGATGTAACTCTAGACTTCATCAAACGTACGGTACATATAAACGTACGGCGAAAAAAGGTAAAATTTATATTGTCGTCTTGGCGCGAATCGTGGTGCAACATTAATCATTTGGCGTACACTACGACTTCTGAATACTCAATCAGCAAATTTCTCTCTTGTTACAGATACGCTGAGTCTAGGAGATCGGCCGATAGATAACATGGATAGACACGCGATTCAGACCAGACCTCGGCAACAAATGCTGGATCATTCTTCCGGCCCGAAGTCGAAACCGGAACCCACCTTCGACTTCACGCAGAACACCAACGTGACGGCCCTGATTGGAAAAACTGCATACCTCACGTGCCGAGTTCGCAATCTAGGCGACAAGACTGTAAGGGCCTTCATTATATTACCTTATGAATTATAAATTACAAAGATATTATCTGTAACAGTTGAGTGTGTTCACCCTGCTTGAGAATATTTATTAGGATATTTCTTACAATTATTATGCAGACTGAACAAGAATATTTATTTTAATTAAGAAAATGCTGATTAAAAGTTATTAAACAAATATCAATTACTCCACGTTCTTGAAGCACAGCGTTATTTTTTTATATATATATTATATTTATATTTAAATAAAGCTTACATATGAAGACATTTAAACTACAGTTAAACACACACATACACACACACACACACACACACTCTCTCTCTCTCTCTCTCTCTTCTTCTTCTCCTCTCCCTCTCTCGCGGACAAAAGAGGAAACCGATCTAAGGGAATTTTAGGAGAAACGATTTGCAGGCAATAATCAAGGTGCACGGGATCGATTGAACATTAATTGACCTTAGAAGTATCTGGAAACTCAATTTTATCATAGACGCAGTACTACTATTACGATTTCCATTGAAAGAAATGATCCGAGTTACGAAATGCTCGAATTGATCGATCTTGCGCGGATTATTATCAATGTAATCTGTTAAGAACGTACAGACGATGCTTCTGAAATATATTCAATTTTACTTATTTTAAATAAATGCGTCGGATATTACGTATCGACGATCCGTATTCACTTCAATGTACTATTTTCCTTCGTACAAACCAGAGATTCAGTTACTCGCTGTTCTAACGATGACAATAGAGATCCTTGCAACAGCAACCAGTAATTTAACACCGATTCCACGCTTTATAAAAAGAGATCCGAAAAGAAAAAGAAAAAAATGTTCGACAGAAATAAAACATTACACAAATTTTTGTAAATCTTTTTTCTTCTGGAGAAATTACGATTTTATACTAAATTATTAGCATCAACCATTGGGATCTTTTTTATAAAATGAGTCGTTAATGATTCTCGAACTCTAAATAATTGAAAATATAAAAGCTCTCTTTCAACTTAAATTAAATTACTCATACTTCAGTGAAAGATACGAGTGACAAAACTTTAATTTATATTTACTTTTAAATGAGCTTTACCTCAGTAATATTTTCTGAAAGTTTCTGATGTAACCATTGAGATTAAAGATTAAAACTGTGACAAAAAGAGGTAGCATTTCATTAAACTTTTATCGAGAAAAAATCAATTAAGCATAAGATATAAATTAATAATTTATGAATAGGATATCTTTTTAGAAACTATTTTATTTGAAAAAATATTTTATTGCATCAGAATAATTAAAACGAGATGCGAGAGAAAGAGAAAAGAAAGAGAAGGAGAGAGATAGAAGCAGACTTAATTGAAACGCTATTGTATCATTTGCAAAAGCGTCGGACGAAATAATATGGAAAAAATTGACTTTACATTCCTTTATAGTTGTTTTGTTGCGTTACGTCGTAATTGTGTTTAATAATAGAATCGGGGTTTCGCTCGAAAATTTTTCCGCATTTCTGCTTTCTCACAAAGCAATTTAATTATTTGCGCACTAGTGGTTAAGCTATCGCAACGCGAAAGTCAATTTACGAGTTAGTTTATTTTTCCCCGAGGCTGCTTGTTGCAAAGCCAATAAGTAAGTATAAGCAAGTGTTTCTAATTCACTCGAACGTCTTAAAGATATATATGTCAATTCTCTCGTATTCTCCACATTTTATGAATTATTCTTATTCCTATTCGTTCATGAATTAATTTCGCGGAAAAATTAAAACAGATAAATTATATCAATATCATACTAAACATCATCAGTATGAGAATTTCGTTGCTCATATTAAATGATGAATATACGCTGTACGTAGATTTTTACGACTGTTTAAAATAGCAATAAAAATACTTTCTCTTCTAAATATTGCTGACATTTCTTTTTCACGAGATTTACATAATATTTGAATACACAATAATAAAATTGCAAACAGATAGTCAGAACATGATTGACCGGTTTTGTGAATGTTTATGTAGGTCACCAAACATAATACCGCCAGATTTTGTTTTGTAAAGTTATACAAAATATCAAATTGTGTCACAACGAAAGAAAACAAGAATTTATATCACTTGTCGATCAAGGACTGTCACTTCATGTCAAAAATAATGTCTGTCAAAAAATTGTTAAAAGATTTACAAAATCCTAAATATTTAGTGACTGTTTTAAGTTAAAATATGATATATTAGTTACATTCATCATTACAGTTTATTAAAAAATATACTATTCCTAATATAAATATAGAAAATCTTTTAAATAAGTATTATTAAAAAAACAATATTTGAAGATATGTAATTTTATGTCATTCTATTTTTAAAAATTAGAATATATAGTTTCCTTTTTAATAGAATTATTAGAAGATTTTAACGATCCTGGAGAGATTAAAAACGATTGAACAACTTATAACGTTTTATTGGATCTGTTTCATGTAATAACGTATATTGTTTTTTTTTCCACGAAAGGAAATATATTCAATAAATATAAATAAATCTAATAAATATATACACATATTGCACATACATCGCATTTCACGTTTTCGATACTTAACTGAAGGCAAGCATACAATCGAACGTTTCAGGAAACGCACAATACCGAAATTATCTTCATTCAATGTTGATGGATTAAATTCCAATATACACTCTTGATGCAACGCGATATCAAAAGGGGAGAGCTTTTAATCGTATTTCGTGATACAAACGCCTGTCTGATTAGTGCGCTAGCGCTATCGGATTATCAGGAGAAAAACAGCGAAATTCCACGCAATGCAGCTCATATACGGATATTAAAAAAGTCAATGAGATGAAATTACAGAAACGAATACGCAATATTCTGCAAAATAATAAAGCAATAAAAGCGTTATTAAAAAACCAGGCAAATTATTCACATTTTCATCATTAATACAAGAATTCATATTGCGTCTCTCTGACAACAATTTCGCGAGTTATAATTTCGAATTTCAAAGAAAATCTCTTTTTCATTTATTTATTTAGATGTTTTAGATCTGCGAACATTGTGTATATATTTGTATTCTCCCAAGGATAATATTTTGCATATTAAGTTTCAATAACTTGATGATTAACTCGATGATTATTTTAAATATCACTCGACTTTAAATAAAAATCTCGCATGAGACTTCAAGCAATCGAGTAAAATTGTAAAATTTTGCATAAGATTCGCGAAGCCAATAAACGTTTTTAGTACGTATATCGAGGTTGGAAATGCATTCTGACGCGTGTCACCAGACATCTCTCAACGCGCGCATGTTTCCAATTACTGCGTCGACATCGCACCGAAACGGCGGTTGGCATACACGTGACAAAAAAGAAAGGAGGAAAGATATTTTACGAATAAAGCTATATAAATAAACGATCGAGTTCCGCGGGACAAATATCAGCAGAAATATCGACTAATAGGACCGACGACGATGCACTCAGCAATCAGCACAAAAGTGCCCACGCAAAAGAAGCGACTGCGAAAACAGAATAGTAAAGTATGGAGTTTACATGTATAACAAGATAATTCAGATAAAGCGATAACAATTCGCCCTCCTTTCTTTCGTTGTTATCCAAAATGCGAAAGGTACATAGTACTTTAATTTCCGCGCAAAATTTGCATAATAATTACTGATCTCGCTGATAATGCTTGTTCGACTGTGGAAGTATTAATCGATAAAGAATACTGTATTTTAGCATACAAAAAAAAACAGATTATTCCTAGTTTAGCGATTATTTTATATAAATTATTTTATTTTTAAAATAATGATTTTTAGATTCTTTTAATTTATTCGCGTGTTAGTATCTTTTTTGAAAAAAATATTTATTAAAATTTATATCCAACTCTGTTTACATTTAATATTTAAATTTAAAGTGGTGCAATTGTTTAAAACAGTCGGATTGAATATGAAGAAAACTAAAAATATGATTTTTAATTAATTTCTTAAATAAATAGTATACATACGATTAAGAAACATCAGATCGATAATTTAGATTAATCGTAAAATATTTTTAAAATGATTCAAAGTATATACATAAATATAATCAATAGAACTCAGAAACTTTTAATTACAAGTTAAGTATATTTAAAAAAATCATCCTTTGTAGCTGTGTTTTCATTTATCCAAAACAGTTTTTCAATTGTCTTTCAAGTAACGAATTTACTAGATATACAAGTGATGAGATCAATGTACACGAGACTTTATTTTCGCGGCTCACACGGATTTTATGCATCACCTTTAAAGTCTTTCCGGCAAGAGCGAGAGGCAAGAACGTAGCTTTTGGAAATAAGCTCATCGGAATGGAAGCTCATTTCGATAACTCTGATAACCATCCGTGTCGGAGTTTTTGCATCATGAAGTCCTTCGTACAGTGCGCCTGACCAACTTTACTGCGATCCCGAAACGGAAGGACCGAACGAGAGGATCCGTCTATTTCCGTATGGAACGCCCGCCGCGGAAAAGCCACCGACCCGTGTCGAAACGTAAGAAAAGTTGCGGGGGAATACAGAAAGTTTCCCAGGCGAGCTTTCTCCGCTGCCAGCGCGCACGCAAAGCAGATTTTCACGCGCGCGTTCACGCGGGTGCTGGTGTCAGAGTGTGAGACTTCGACGGTCTTTGGCGATTTTCCGGGGAAGACTTCGAACGGGAAATAAAAGGATTCTGCGGAACGCGGAGCGCGATCCGGGCGTCTTCTTACATTTGAAACTCTCTCAGAATTCTTCAGAAATAATATTATCTTACAGGCGCCTCTCCACCATTTCAGCTCTCCGTATTTTTTCTCGCGCGACTAACTTTCTTATCTTAAAAGTGGATTAAAGAGGATTAACGAGTCGTCACGTGCGATATTATTAATCTTTGGATTGAATTAATCCCGAGCGTATTACATTATGGATTGCAGATGTTATAAATATGAAATTACGGAATGTGATTAAAGATCAATTTGTACAAATTTAAAATTTTACTTTTTATATAATTTAGATTAATCACGTTACATTGCTAAATTATTAAGAAAACTGCTCCATCTGTCTGTGTAAAATTATAATTATCGTTTTAAATAAGAGGAACAGTAAAAGGGCCGGCTTAATCACATCCTCCATTCTTTTATGGAATACATCCGCGATGATAAGTGAATAGAGACGAGAAATTAAATTTTACTCATGAAGAAAGTTCGGTCACTTAAAAGTTAAACCATAAGAAAAGGCACTTCTGTAGCGCTCTCTCGTCGAAGCTCGCCGCCTGCTTTAATATTCCCGAGGACTACTACAGAGAGACTCGTCGACTTTTCAATGAAGTGTACGCATTTCTGTTCCAACAAAGCGAATACTTTTATTTCCCTGCAGTTTTCAGATATGAAACATGGCGAGAGAATCGTAAGAATTTGCATGCGGAAAGAGAGACTGTGATACTAATAATAAAGATCATATACGTCTAATAAAATGAAACGTTCATGTCTCGTTCTCTGAAAAGTTTAAGTAATATTTTCCGCTTAACGATTTTCATATTATTACGTTTGTTTCAGCTAAAAATTATGCTTATTATATATTTTATATTACTAAACACATTTAATATAGTACATCAAAGCAAAATTTAATTCAAAAAATATACATAAACACACATGTACAGATTTTTTGCGCACCTTGAATTTGTTGTGTATTTTATACATTTCCAATCGTACACATGCATCATAATGCTGCTAAATCATAGTGTTTGAAAAAAAATCACACACACGCAAAATACCCGCGTCGAAATAATTTATCGTCACCGTCTGTCAACCATCCATCCTAAAAGCAATCGCGAGGCAATGGGAGCAAAACCGTAACATTGGAATTCGCGGTAACGGTAAGTTCGACGCATATTAACGTCGGGTTCTCGCGCCGGGGCGCGCGTCCCCAATGCGGGAAATTTCAACCCTTCCCCTCCCGGAGGGGCTGGGTTGGTCTTTAGGAGTGTGGGCGGCTTGGCTGTTTGTCGATATTTTCACAGAGCTCTGACCTCGTATATAAACCGGGCGAGGCCGGGAGTGTGTCGGTACGGCACACCGTTTTCCCGGTCTTGTGCATGTATATATACACGCGCGCCGTGCGAACGCCGTTTACATATGTGCTCGCCGTTGGCACCACTTAGCGTATTTACTCGACGAAGTTTACGTCTCTCGCGGTGTCTGGCTAGCGGTAGCTATTGCACGGGAACAAAAGCAGTTTAGCGCTTCCCAACTTATCCATCGGGACGAATGGGGCGACTCGCGGACGCGCCGGCGCGAGGGACGGAGAGGGAAACGCTGCATCCGCGCGCGAAACTGCAAGAAGACGTCGGCAATGATGAATGTCGAACGTTAAGTGGAACCAACGCGAGCACAACGAGAAACTCTGGCAAATGATCTCTCATATTGCCTGCAAGGTGCGCCGCGCGAATTAGTCGCGCGCATGTCATTTTCTTGGGTGCAGGAAAGCGCAAGGCAATCGCGAGAGTCTTAATTCCACCGCTTTCTCTAACAATAAATGTAATGCGGTTGATGAAAGACAGTTTGAATATTCCAGTTACATTATTGGTTTATCATTTATCACCATTATTGTCAATTTTGTTTGCGAAGGTATCCTGGGTCAGGCATAGAGACATCCACATTCTGACTGCGGGAGCGTATACGTACACAAGTGACCAGCGATTTCAAGCGTTACACAGACAAAACACGGGCCACAGCAACGAATGGTCCGAATGGACCCTCTGCATAAAGTGGGCGCAGGAGCGAGACCAGGGAATCTATGAATGTCAGATTTCCACCATACCTATCAAGTCGTATCAATTTCGCTTGAATGTCGTTGGTAAGTTTCATGTTTCATTCAATGTAATCTCACCCGTCGTTGTCCCCGTTCTACCATTCGATGAAATTTCCAAAACGCTCTGGCGAGCGTTTCAGTCTCAATCCGCAAAATATCGGTCCGCTAGGACGGCATGGTTCTCTTCCGGCTTTTGAAAAAAATTCCATTTCTGTGTTCACAGCGAGATTAAATTAGTAAATACATGATTAATGAAAGGCCAGAGAAAAAGGATAAATTTACAGAATAAACGTAAAAACGTGAATATTATTCGTTCGGACGATATATCGAAATGCGTAAAATATATGTTATCTAGCCTCAATTCGGTTTCCGTTTGTGCATCAAACTATTTAGAGATCATGAATCAAAGTAAGCAGTAAATTTGACGAAAAAATGGTACGCTTGATGATTTAAACGCAATTTAACGATGATCCCGGGGCTGAATTCGACGTCGGAAGGGGCGACGTCGACGGCATCGCAATTATCCTCACTTATCTGCGTTTGTTAAGAAGCTTTTCCTCGTTACTTCTCACGGATCATGGGGCGGCTTTAAAGATTCCTCGTTCCCCTCGTTTGCTAAGTACCATTCCCAAAAGACTTTCATACAGAGAGCTTTCACGACGCGATGCACGGATCTTTGGGGTTATCCGAGCCGAGGCGGATGACCCCGAGAGGGAGTGGAATCGGGGGAAATTGGAGAGCATGATAAGAACGAGGAGAACGAGGAAGAGGAGGGAAATAGAAAGCGAGAGAAAATTCTTCTTTATCGCAGTACCTACGGCGACGATACTGGGCGGCCCCGAGTTGTATGTCGGTGCGGGCAGCACGATAAACCTGACGTGTGCCATACGCTTCAGTTCGGAGCCACCAGCCTTCATCTTCTGGTACTACAATGAGAAAGTCCTGAGTTACGACAGTCCCAGGGGCGGCGTCTCCGTGATAACCGAGAAGGGTGGCGACGTTACCACCTCCTGGCTTCTCATTCAGACGGCGCAGCCCTCGGACTCCGGGGAGTACAGCTGCAAGCCCAGCAACGCCAATACGGCGTCTATCAGGGTTCATGTCCTAAATGGTGAGTCTTTGCTCCTGCGAGGTACGCCAGAGCCCAGAGCTCCGTTCTTGTCGACGCGATTTTACGAGCGACGCGAGACAACGGCCGCGAAATGTCATGTATTTTCGGTACAACTCGCTATTTCTTCATCAGCCGAGGTAGCTAGGTAGCTTAATTAAAAATTTTACGTTTCGTATATTTATTTGCCTCTTTCTAAAGCTTCTCTCTAAAGCGGAACGTTTTTGGTATTTATTTGAACAACGAACTAAATGACCACTGCAATTAATTATTACGTATCGTATATATTAAATCTCGCATTGATTCGTTAATAAGCATGAGTCTTTTAATTGCTTTACTGAAAAGCAATTCGCAACGAAGGAAAGATTTCGTGTTTCCATGCCTTTTCGTACCGGGCAAACTGCTCTAAACTGGCACCAAAAAATTTAAGATAATTATAATTATCGAGTAATAAAAATGCGCTTGCTAGCCTAAATTCTCATGCCTGCTTACAATTCCGTGGAATTAATATAATTCCGTTGTGCTACGACGATTAACTATCGTGTCGCTTCGAGGCGCCAGAATTCTGAATCAACCTGGCCAATCTGCCAAGTTGCAATTTCCGCCCCTCGAAATGAATTCCCAAAGCGTACTGGCTGTCATCGGGTCTTGCTTTATAGCGTGCAAAATTATTTTATTGACCGTCGCTCTGCAGTTCACATCCCGCATAGAGAAGCTGTAGATGTTAACTATTCACACAGCCAGCTCGTAAACTCGAACCGTTCCGCGTCCGCGATCGTTAAAACTACTCAGGACCGATAGTGGATCGGAAAAGTTTCGCGGCACCGAAATGCGCGTATAGATCCGCTGTTCGCCGGACTAGAAATCGATAAACGGATGATAACGAAAAAGAGGTGAAAAACACGGTGAACAGCGCGCCTCGGCGCGCAAAAAGTCTCTATTCTTTTATACTTTCTTATCACGTGTTCTTTCTTATCCCTCATTCTTATCACGCCTAATAGCTCTTAATTCTTATCTTTCTAATGGGTTTCACGTACCGGTCTCGTGATGTATTCTTGATAGTCGGAGAATATCGGCCGAGAATGTACGCCCGCAGCTGTCCCTTCCCAGCTTTCGGCCGCGAGCTCGAAACTTGCCGCTCTATCAAACTCTTGGCAATTATGCAGTCGCGAAGTTGGCGCGCGCGTGCACATATAAATATATATGTATATATACGGAAACGCTCGCGTGAACTCGACGCGAATACGAGGCACCCCGATTTCGCATAATAAGGCCCTTCGTCATTCGCGACGAACGAAGAAGCCGGCGGAGTTGGCGAATGCTTCAATAACCTAGCTTGAATAATTTATTAATGAAGCGCATGCGGGAGACACTATTGAATTATGTTCGTTATCGCGGCTTGTTTTTCGCGACGCGCGACAACATCGCGCGAGGAAACAAATTTCGCTCGGTGATTCGCGGATATTCCAATATATCGTTTAGTGAAACATGCGGATTGCGAAATGATTCGCGAAATAATCCGGATATATATTTGTAACCATATATTGCCGTGCATAGGTAACAAAGCGACTATCTGCAAAATGTTATAAAAGGATAATAATATCTTTTTATTTTAATTATAATCTCAACGTTTCGAATATCTATAAAATATCTATATTTCAACATGAAGAGAAACCATTTATCCAATGATTTCTCGCTAATGGAATTAAACAAAATCTATTATTAAACATTTATAAACTTCTGTTGCTCTCTTTTAAGTTTAAAAATTATGATTAATATAGTTATATAAATTATGTAGAGAATTTACATGTAATAGTAAAAATAGTTATTTTATTTATTACTTTAAATACAATTTTTATCTTAGATATTATTTTTTTTTACAGCATCTGTATATGAAACGGATAACTTATTTTGCCCTTTTATGTGACCCAGAATTAATTTATTAAATTTTACTTTAATATATCATTTTCATATTTTCAACAAATTTATATTAAATGTATCAAGTTGTGTTAGATATAAAAATTACAAAAAATATTTGCGTTGAATTCGGTCATATTCTATAATTTAAATATAAAACAGTTAATAAATTACATTAAATAGGATAATTCAGGGTTTTTAATTTCCGCATCGTCTTCTATCTTTCTCAATAATTCAATTACTGCTTTCGAAATGTCGGCCTGGAATCAATTGCAGCAATATCGATCAACGCGCTCATTGTCAAAGAAAATACGAATCGCGACGACCAAAATAACTCGTAAGTGCGCGCTCTTAAAATTTTACCATCGAAATCCCGATCTCTCCGTAGAATACGACACCTTAAAAGCTCGCAGAAATTTACAGCTGCTCGCTTGATACCGCCTGAACGGGGCGGAAATTACTCTTCGATTCGCACACGCGTGCTGGAGCGCGGCGCGCTTGCCTTGGCTGGCGCGACCGATATTCCCACATCGAAAGAAATATATAGGTCCCTCGACTTAATGAAAACTTTGCCATTAGCCGCGCACGTCGGAATAATCTCTCGGAGTCCCAGTTACAATGCGTTAAAAACAATTTTGGAAAGTTTCGCCTCTATATTCCCACCGTTCCGAGAGGACCGTCGAAAAATCCTCCCAAATTTCCCTGCATCGTTATAAGAAACGCGAATAGCGGGCAAACAAACGAACGAACGAACGGACGGACGCGAAAGTTTCGCGTGGGCGCAAAACTTGGTAAATTTACGAGGGCCGAGTCGGAAAATTCCGCGGGCATTACGGGTGGGGCGAGGGGAAACGCACGTCCGGAAATAGTACTTCGATTCGTTTTACGAAGTGGCCGATATCCGATAAAAGGTCGGATAGAAAGGACGCGCCTAATACGCCGCTTCAGTCCGCTCGAAACTTTTTACAATGGGCGAAATCGTCGCGATCAACATTCCCAGCGTAGGCGATCGCACGGCCCGGCGGTCCGGCAAATTGCGCGCCAGAAAACAGGATCATTTATCCGAATGTATCGCTCGCAGTTGACATTCATTAAAAAGTTTCACGACGCATTCCGCGACGCGGAACAAAAAGCGCGCTCACGAGCGAGCGAGCGAGCGATTCAATTAATTTCAGCAGTCACACCGACGCGAGAAACTTTCCTCGCGCGGTACACGTCACTAGTATTTCAATAACTTTCCATGCGAAAATATCCGCGGTGGCACCAGCACGCGCTGCACGGTAAGCTCTCATTATCCAGATCACGCCCGGGGAACTCCGGGTCGCTTCAACCCTCTCGACCCACCTCACCCCGTTTTTGCCTTTCCAGTTCGCGCGAAGTAGATTATATTCGCTGAATGAGACTTGATAGATTGATGGATGGTTTATTTATACTCGCGGCATAAATCCCGAAGAACCTTTCGTAATAATGGTTTTACCATCATTTTAACAGAAACAAGAGTGACGTAATAAAAATGTATTAGCCGGTTAGTCGAGTTCCGGTCGAAAAGATAATGCAACACACCTGTCACGACGAAAGACGAAACCTCGCGAGAGAGAAAAACATTCGAGAGAGATGTTGCCTTTATGATCTTTGTCTCTTTCTTCTTTTCATCGGTGCGCGCATATTTTAACGTAGAAATGAGATTAAATGGTTAAAATGAGATTTCATCGCTGACAGACCGCTTGCCTTAACCCGGGATGTCTTTGTATTACAGGCGAGCGACCGGAAGCGATGCAGACCGGGACCGCGGGGCCGATACTGTCCTCAAGTTGTCTATTGGTGTCCCTCATCATTTTGTACATATCCTCGGTGTAAACGAAAACGAAAGGCGTCAACGGCCGAAGATCACAACCGTCGCGGTACGTTCCTCTTACGTCTACGCGAGCGCGCTTCCACGCGTGCGTGTTCCGTTCGACAAACGTGATCGCGGGACGACCGCAAGTTTGTACGGGACATAAAAGGATTTCGTGAATGACTGAAGTAGAGCGTGTTCAGTTGGCACGTCGCAACATAATTCACGATGCTTTTATGAGAGGAGGGAAAACTGCCAATCAAGGAAAAATAGCGATTTCTCTTGTAAGTAGCAGCTGTCGGTTAATTGATTATTGCTCCTTACAAAAAGCATGGTGAATTATAGTCTATTAGCGACACGCCGGATTACATGGTACGTTATACTGTGTAACAAAAGAATGCGAAGCACAAACCTTCACGAATACACGTTCCCGTGTGAATCTGATCCTTCTCTTCTCTGACATTAGACGGGACGATGGGTATTGAGTTGTTGCTCAGCGATCCTGTTAAGAAAATGAAGAACACTTACTTCGTGCGCCACCGATTATCAACGCCTCGTGCCGATGTGCGTCGAAAATCAAGACGAAGAACTCGATAGTGCGCGGTACTTTCGTCGCGTGCATTTCGGCCGCGATGGAATCGCACGACGCGTTTCCTCGCGCTCGGAGGGGGAGTTACATCTTTCGGTAAGAAAGGGGCACTTAATTAAGCGAACGTCGATGCTAATGCCGGAAGTGCGGGTGCTTCGCGGTAGATCTGGCGCGCGAAATCCTTGCCCTCCTTCCCCACAAAACGAGGAAAAGGCCGACGAGAGGTCGGGGGGGGGAGGGGTCACCAGATAATCCAGGTAATCCCTATCGCGAGAAACCGATTTACGAGAAGCGTTAAGGCGTGGAGCGATTGCTTTACGGTTTACGGTTTACGAGCAGTCGAATCTTGGGGAATGCAAGCTACGTGGATGGGATTCAATGGAAAATAAAACGTGACTGGAATGCTCGATCTCGGCAATTTTCCGTATATTTCATAAAATTGCCGTGCGATAATCGGCTGCGCGTTCACATTATCCTCGCTCCGATGCTATCTTCAGTCCTGGCGACGTTTCTCAGGATAAATTTCATCGCGACTCGCCGACTTGGCAACTCGGACATCGTTCTCTCTCCGCGATTAGTTTTATATTGCGTTTGGAAATATCTCGGATTTTGACACTTTTCCAAACTCGCGCATTTTAGTGTTGTAAATTTTGTAGCCACTCTGTAGGATTTTGCATTAGTAGGTGATTTAAGAATCAATCGGTTTTATATAGATATGTTCTCTCTAGTAACAACTTTTTGACGTTTGTAAAAAGGTTTTCATATTCTGACATTTAATTTGTTTTCTACTCTCTAATAGCACTTGCAGAGATTTATATTATATCGAATAATAAATAAATACTTCTTTTTAACAAAAACGTACATTAACATTTATTCAGAAAATATACATTCATCGTCGCTAAATTAAATAATTTAAATTTCAAATTAAACAGCGTCGTAAGTATTGTTTATTTTTTACCATAGCATTTTTTTATAACGGAAATTGCTGTTAACGACTTTATATTAATTCTAACGCATTCCGTAAGCAAGACTGAACATGCATGCAAAATATCGACTTCATGTGTTGTTTGTATTGTAAATACGTAGCTTCTCTCAAATCAATTGTATTAATTATAATTATCGATCAAACGCGCCTTATATAGCACTAAGCAAAATAATTTGAATAAAAAAAATCGTAAATATTACATTAAATACATTTCAATGTCCAGAAATTTCGGAAACTACTCAATCTAAATTGATATAATCAAATAAGGTACATTTTAATATGAGTTCAAAAACAGAGTGCACTTTTGTAATGTGAAAAGCGCATCTAAATTATGCTCGTTCGAATCACAATTGGATTAACGGCATCAAAACTCAATAATTGAATGCAATCAGGATAAACTAAGCTTAAGTAGTCTATTGTTACACACTTTGATTATGGCCTAATTTTCTATCGTCCTCGATTAGCCGTTAATTAACACAGCGTTGAACAGAGATAACAGGAAAATGATATAGAGGTAAATTGTCAAAATACATTGTTGGTACACAGTTAATGTCGGAATTTCATGTTGGAGTATATAAGATTAACCGATATTAATGATCAAAATGTAAATTTTAACTTAAATTAAATTTAAATTCAGAATATGAAACATGAAGGACATACACAATTTCCTTCAGTTTCTATAAGAAAGAATGCAGCAAACAAAATTAAAATATTGAGCAAAAAGTTTTATTAAGGAGATAAGTTGCCCTATTATTTCCCTTATAATTTACTGAACTTTATATATTTTTATTAATAAGTAGAGAAAAAAGAAAACTTAATTGATAAATGAATGTATATACCTATGTACATCTTGTGCATAAATGAATCAAATAAATATCTCAAATCTAAAAGTGTCAAATGAAGTATTTATATATTTACGAGAACTAACACGAGTTGAATTTTGATATTACAGTAATAACAGTACAGCGTCAGTAAAGCGACAACAACTGCAATCCTTCCAATGCAACATGCTAATATATAAAAAACAATTAGACCTAGTGGTCATGCATCAGTGAGCAGTAATAATGAAAAATAAATAACAACAACGTGGCAGACACGCGTGTAAAAGTTAATTTTACAATTGCAAATAAGTGCGAATGAAACGGTTGAATAATCGAAACAAAGCTCACTGTGCGCGGCAATTTAATAAACAATAATTGCCAGCGATTATTGCGAGCCGCGCATAAATAATAATCATTCTGTCAATGGAAATGATGGCGAGGCGCGCTTTAAATTTCGACCATTGATTAGCCCCAGAAGAATCACGTCGCACAATTTTCTCTCGATATATTTTTACCTCCATTTTGCAATCAGTCCTGCCCATTTAGCTTCATATATTCAATAATTGCCACGTTATGTTTCATTATACTAAAAACAAAAGCAATATGGTATGTACGCACACACGCGCACACACACAATACACTCTAAATAGTTTGTTAAAAATATACAATTCGAAATATAACCATTATTGTAATTATATTCTTTTTAACTTTTTGCTGCTGGATGCAATAATTAAATGCCGTTTGCATAATGATATTTCATTAAACGTTGTTATTTTTACAATAACTGTCTTATTACTCAACATTCTCAGTGATTCGGCTGGATTATCAAAGAGATGAGAATGTAAAGCGATATCTTTTTATATTCCATCTTTATAATTATAAGCTTAAGTTACGCTGCGTAAATTGTTGCCCTAATTAAATTCCCAGAGAGAGAATTATACAGAGATTCCGAGATCAGCGCACGGAAACGGAGCAATGATATCGGCGTAGTTTTCGCGCATTGTTTCGTTGCAAGAGAATAGCTGATCAAACGTCGAGCACTCCTGTCATCGTTTGTCCCATCATTAGTCTGACGATTATATCGCGAGACTGACAGGTGAACTGAGATAGTGGTACGGATAGACGGGCGCAGTAGGAAGATATAGACAGAAAGACGAGCGCACGGAGAGGTTTCACCGAGCGCAAAACACACACGTACACAGACAAATCAACGTGACGCGCGTGTTTACGCGCTCGTCGGATACATGTTAAATTCACCGATTCGTGAGTACAAACGCACCGACGTCTCAGGCACAAGCTTCCTATGCAGCTATACGTGCGGATTACCCCTAATGGCGACCTTAATCAACGACGAATGCGTCGGTTTGGCCTGTTTCGCCGTTCAACAGTAAACGACCGCGATCGCGTCGCAGTCGGCGTTAGCATCGACACATACCAACGCGAATTTGTACATAATGTCTGTATCATAACTTGTGCGACATCACATTCACACGCCTTGCGCGCCTTTCCGCATGGAGAAACTTCGAGACGTGAGCCGATCTCTCCTCTCCTCGCTCTTTTCGGATGTATCTGACAATGAGACGAATGTAAACGCGGAGAAATCAAAATCCGAACTCGTGACAAGGCAGAGTGAGTAAGTGTGAGAGAGAAAGAGAGAGAGAATTTCACTTTCTATTTGTGTTTCGATGTGATATTCTGCCAGATAGTACTGGCCAGTGACGATTGACTTCCTGATCGGAAAAAGCTTTGTTTCCCACGGAAAAAAGCATTTTCCATCAATTCATTTTAAGTTTTGTCTGGATTGTTTTTTTTTTTGTTATAGAACGGTTCTGTACAAACGCACATGCTTATTTAATATAATTTTGAAATATAACTTTTAGATAGAAATGTTTGCAAAATGTGATTTGGTATTGACAAGGACATGTCACAAAACGCAGTTGTCACAAAACGATTCGATTTCTTTTAAAATAGATTGTTTAAAACTTAAAAGGCACGTGTCTTTTTATAACGTGCTACTTTTGAGATTTAAAACAACTTCTTAAAATTGACATTTTTGTATTTTAAGCAAATATTATCAAAAACCATAAAATATATTTAAATAATGTTTCAGATATTTTTTAAGCATTTTTAATCCACACTCTATAACCATGTACTTACATTTTCCGATAACATATATAATGTTTCTTAAAATGTTTTCAATCTTATTGCTATTTTAAATTTTTCGTAAAAACCATGTTTTGATTATATATGCTTCATTCAAAATGTCCAAACATGTTCAGTAATATTTGATTTATTCTCGACTACAGCATCGATCAATATCATAAATTTGGAAAGGCACAGCATATCGAGCGATGGAGCACGTGGATAAAATATGTCGTTCATTTATTTGTCGATGCATTTACTTTGCTAACATCGGCAGAAACGTCGAAGTCGCTCGAGGATCGCTCGGAAAAACCGATAAGAGAAATCGTCAGTTGGCCAGTGCGATCGGACAGTATCGAAAGTATCGTTCGGGTCATTCGCGCTCGACGAAACGAAGTCGCTTGCATCTTCGCTCTCCTACGTGACTCTGATATGTTGGTGAGGTGGATGCCCCCGCCTGGCCCAATAGAACTTCCCGGGGCGACACGGATAGTCGCTTGTCAGAAGCGATTTAAGTAACGCGATGAGTCGAGAGAGAAGCAATGAAAAGAAAGGCAAAGATGTGTTACGCATTGCCACGGCCGTCCAGAAAAAGTATAGGATCTTAAAAGACGCACATGTACCTACTCTCCTTGTTATAATTTTGTAACAAACAGATTTTCTTACAACTGCCAAAGTTTTTTTTTTTATTTTTGTATGATTGCGAGAAGTTTTCGAAAGATTTCACTGTGAGCGTTTTTAGAACGACTAAAACGCGCGTATCGAGATCAGGTTTCTTTAATACACGCACGCATAAATTTTTGTATTTGTTGCCGGCATTTAATATAAGCAAAACCTTTCTTCCATTTTATTCAAAATAGTCAGCTTACCGAAGTATCCTAATAGAAAAACTTACCGCAAAATCTCATAAACTTTCGCAATGGATGTGTTTACGACGACAATCATGATTAATAATGTTGACGTAATTTTTCAATGTGTCCGCAGGGCAATTTTCTAAGTTACTCGTATATTTTCCTGAACATTATTCCCCTTGAATACGTCGTGCTTTAAAACAAGAGGGTCAAATAAAGTGAGGGAAGAGAAGAACCCGTAAAGAAATCTCGAGCCACCCGTCGGCACCTTGCCATGTGACTACAGAAGAAGCACATAATTCCGAGGGAAGTGCGCGCGGGTGAAAAGGATAATATTTCGGAAGTTCTCTCGAGGGGCGAACTTGCTAGAGTCACGCTTACACGTGTGTGGTTCGGCGGTAAAATATACGGCCCCCGCAGACAATGAGAAGTTGGGGGAAAAATAATTGCGCGGGCGGACGGGCGGGCGGGTACGAGCGTCGAGGCCGAAACAAAAGTTTGCGGGCATTTTTCTTTCTTTTCGGCGGAAACTGGGTGTAAGAGATAGGAAGCGCGCCGTTGAGTCGCGGAACCAAGTCCGCAATGCGTGCCGCATCGATTTTCTCGCTACCGAGCGGAGCCCGTCGTCGGGGGGCATATCGATGACTCTGGCTGTTCCGGTTAAATGTTCGCAAACGCACATAACGAGAATCCTTCAGTCAATCTGCAACTTTTCACAGATGCAAAAAAATGCATGACATAAAAAATACATGATACAAATAATCTAGATTATAAATGGTTAACGTGGCGGATGGCAAATAAATGATTTAACTGCGCGTTTGGGGATTTTACGGGTATTGGCATTTCCATTATTACCAATCCGATACACCCCGCGAGTGATCCGAAAATAAAATAAACATATTATGCTCTTTTAATTTCAAATTGCATTTACACGAACCCAAATAAATATAGCCTGCAAAATTCAGTGTTATATTAAACGTTGATATCCTATTGCAACTCATTTCGTTCAATACCAATAGCGCTATTTAAACCAACGTCGTTGGCTTTTCTGCCTGTCTTCTATCAACAAGCGGCGTGTATAC